CCCCCTCCACCAAGCCCACCCTGCAGGCCCTGAAAATCCTTGCTAAGTGGCAGGCCATTTCCCCCTGAGGCTCATGCCTTGATGGAGATTCTGAAAATGACAGGCCTCCTTGTGGAATGAGGAACATCCCACACACTGCCACTCCGTGTTCCAAAATTAGAGTTTGTCATAGACACAGATCTCAGAGGCAGCAAAAATAGCCACTGCTGCAAGGGCTGTCCCGGGCTGTCCCACAGGCTTCCTGCTTCCTTAGCAAGGCAGCTGGCAGCTGGCAATGGAGCGAAGGCTTGCCCTCTCCTTCAGCAGCCCCCTTGGGTCCACCCTGACTCTAACACCCTCTGCACATACAGCAAATGATAATGTATATTTGATTTGAAAACTGGGAGGGTGGGAAGAGTTTTAAGGCATAAAATCACTATCTGACACCAAAGCTCCTTAAAAAAAAATCAGATATTTTAAAAATCAATCGCGCGCGGGCATGTGTGTGTGTGTGTGTGTGTGCGCACATCCATGTCTGTGGAGGCCAGAAGACAACCTGGGGTATCATTTTCAGGCCCTTTCACCTTTTTCTTGGGCATTTTATTATTTTTTTTTCAGAGATAGTCCTACACCCGTGTTTTGTTTGGTTTGTGAGTTCTGGAGATGAGCTCTGGACCGAATGCTTTCAAGTCAATCACTTTACAAACTAAGCATCTCCTCAGCCCTCTTTCTTCAGATGTAAGTGAGCAGGTGTTTTGGAAAGATATTGATATTGAGAGATTTGAAGACCCTGACTACTCAGAACTTTAACCCTTCAAGAGATTGGGGCCTTGTGGCAGAGTAGGAGGTAGGAACCAGACAAAACTGCCCTGCATTCCAAGCCTCCCATCACAGTGTGCCCCGCAGCTGCAAGTAAGTGCCTGGTCCCTGTGAACATCACTTCTCTCATCTGTATGACGAGAGGCTCTGATTCCTTCCAGGTAAACACCCTCTAACAAGGGATCCTGGCCTGCCTGTCTATCTAGCATCACAACCTGCAGCACAAAACATAGCATAGAAGGGCCTCAATAAACACTTATGAATGAACATGTGATTGGGAATGAATGAACGTGTCACTGTGGTGGAGAGAGAAACGGCGGATGAAGAACCAGGTGTGTGGCAGAAACTGGATAAACAGCAGGACTGTTATTGCTAAAGAGCTGGGCGGGAATGGGGCAGATGCTCAGGAAATAAATGGAATTACCAGCAAACAGCACAAGTTGAGAAACACCGGGGACTTTGCAAATACAGTCAGGCTAAGGATCTTGAGCTGGAAAGAGGACCTGTCTACCACTGAGGTGTCATAATTTAGCCACATTATCATAATTTAACCGCAATGGTGGTTACTACCATCCAACCCACATCCTTGTGTTTGTGAGCTCTGGGGTTCAGGTTACTGAGATGATCTGCTCTCTCCTCCCAAGGCTATACCCTAAGATTGGCATGGGTCCCCATGAGTCCCAGAGTGGAGCATCTCTCTGCATATGCAGTCCTGGGGGCTTTAGAGCAGCAGCAGCAAACAGCAAGTGGGGGCTTCCTAAAAGGGAGGCCAAAGCCAGAGGTGATCTTCTTCCCTCCTCCAATTATAACCTTGGCTACCTCAGAGAAGCAGGTCGGCAGGAGAGTAGAGGTCATCGTCCATAAAGAACACAGCCAAGCCAGGCGTCGTGGCACACACCTTTAATCCCAGCACTCGGGGGCAGAAGCAGGCAGATCTCTGTGAGTTTAAGGCAGCCTGGTCTACATAGTGAGTTCCTTCCTCTGTTCCACTGTCTCACAGTGCCTCTGTGCTCCCCTAATGAGCTCTGACTAAAATACACTGATGTTTAGCTTTTCACAACCCCAGGTTTTTCAGATCCCATTTGGAGGCTTGCTCATGTCATCTGAAACAGGATGCTCCTTTCAAATTGTATTTCTCTCATAGAACTCATGAAGAACACAGCATTACTTTCTAGTTACATGTGCAAAGGGGTGATCGGAATGAATTTCTCAATATTCCTGATTAATTTTAGTGGAAATAACAGGGCGATTGAAAACAGAAAAACGTGCACAGAACCTGCCTTTCCCGTGCCAATTTATGCTGAAGTCGGCTTTGCAAATAAGGTAATCTTGCAAAACCTTCTTTAGGAGCTTACAAGCAGCTAACGGGATGCAGCCAAGTCTAATATGGAGGCATGTCCCCTTGTAAGTTTGAGATGACGTGCATTCTGCTTTGCTCCGCCTCTTCCTGTCTCTCTCTGCCATCTGCCCTTCCACCCATTCACTGGTTTATCTTTATTGCCACATACAGAACTGATAAGTACATAGGCAAATAGATATCGAGTCCACAAGTTGCAAAAGGAAGTCTTTATAGAAAGAAAATCAAATCTTTAAAAGTATTCAGTCTTTGATTCAGCAATTAAATTTTAAAAGTTTCTCCTAAACAAATAGCATGCGTACAGATAAAGCACTGAGCTGAAACAGTTTTAAACAGCAGTGGAACTCCCACATAACCATGATGCTTGATGTGGAAACAGGTTGACACTGGTTAATGCTTTTGCAAAAAGCTAGCTGTGGGCTGGGGAGATGCTCCGTGGTAAAACACTTGCTGCATAAGCATGGACTGAGTCCACATAAATCCAGCTAAAGCAGTGTGTTTGTCACCCTGGTATCCCTAAGGAGAGATGGGAGGTGGAAAGAGAAGACCCCAGAAAGCTCCTGCAAAACCAGCTATCCTGACACACGGAAGCAAACAAGAAACCCTGCCTCAACAAGCTGAAGGTGAGGGTGGACCCCAAGTTGTCTGTGGATTAAAAGTTAATTGTGGGCTGGAGAGATGGCTCAGGCAGTGGTTAACAGCACTGGTGGCTCTTGCAAAGGACCCAGGTTTGATTTCCAGCACTTACACGGCAGCTAACAACCGTCTATAACTGTAGTTCCAAAGGCTCTGACGCCCTCTTCTGACCTCCACAGGCTTTGCATGACACGGGGGCATTTACATTCATGCAGACAATACATTCATACACATAAAATAAAAATAATAGCTAAAATATTTTTTTAGAAGCTAATTGTAAGTCAAGGGTTCAATATCATCCCATGTCTTATGTCCCCATAGGTTAAAACACTGGAAGCGCCACACTCAAAAGTTGGCAATGGGCGTCTCCTTGGTGTCAGGAGCCAGGCAGATTTGTAGCAAACATGAGTCTTTCCTGTAGCTCCTTGTAGTAGTTTCTGACCTGCAAACCACCACACTGCTTCATTCCCCACTTCTTCTCGAAGCTATCTTAGGTTGGCCCTTCTTATACCCAGAAAGAGACAGGCAGATGAACCATGTAAGTGGATACGGTTGTTGCTAAAGCCAGTCTAGACCAACAAATCTGCTCCGGTCTGAGCACCCACACTGATAAGGGCTTCTGGGAATAACAGTACTAACTGCCACTTTGACAAGGCATCATGCACAATGGGCTCTGTGTCAAATGCACTGCAAGCAGATCTCATTTAAACTTGAAAAACTAAAGATCAATATAATTACTGATCCCATTTTATGAAGCAGAAAATCAGGGCTTGGAAAAATGTAGAAGTTTATTCTTCTCCATGAGGCTGGAATGGATCCGTATTGGTGGTGTAACTAGGCCTGGCTACAATGTAGTGTTCCCAAGTACAACAGGCAGTAATGGCCTCCATGTCTCCATATTAGCTGTGTCTATACCACGTTGGTGAGATTAGTCAGGGATTTCCCAAAATGTAAAATAGGAGAGAGAGAGAGAGAGAGAGAGAGAGAGAGAGAGAGAGAGAGACTTATATAATATGAAGGCTGAGATCCAGGAGTGCTGAAGGTCTAAGTTCAAGTCTGAGTTTTAAGGTAACAAAAGACCAATGTCCCAGCTCATGACCATTAAGCAAAGAGAGTTAGCTCACTCTACTTTTGATCTGTTCTGGGGGCTTTAAAGGACACTTTGAGACAAACATGCTTGCATTTGAAATAGAGGGGGCCTCTAAGAAAGTTTAAACAGCACATGGCAATTTGCCAACATAATTTACAAGATTAAAATCAACAAGGATCCAGGTGTGGTGATGGTGGCTCACACCTTTAATCCCAGCACTCAGGAGGCAGAAGTATGTGGATCTCTGTAAGCTCAAGGCCAGCCTGGTCTAAGTGAGTTTCAAATCAGCTGGGGCTACAAGGAGACTCTGTCTCAACAAACAAACAAACAAAACTGACATGAATGTGTATGCGCATCTATGGACAAGCTCTTCTGCGTCCTAACGTGGCATATACACACATAGATACTCAGCAGCAATCACCTGGGGGAGCCACTGACTCCCCGATTCTGTGATGGGGAGAGGGAGAAACAGCAAGCAGCTAAAAATGCTAAAAACACTGTGTCCTCAAGAAAGAGACAAGGCAAACCATTTCCAACAGACATGACTGTCATTGGTACAAAGGCTGGAGGAACAGGACCCCAGAAGTTCATCCACAGTAGGGAACTCCAGTTGAGTGTCCCAATGCAACTGTCCCCAGTTGATTTCTGCTGAGCATCACAAGCCGCAGGTTGATGATATCACCTTTGTTCTCAGTCAGACTACGCCAGTCGTCTGTGCTGGGTGTTGTCAGTGCCTGACTGGATGATGCTCCCTAGTCTGCTGCTCCTATCAGCTCGGCTACCAACTGTTTGTTCTTTTCCTTTTGTTTGCTGCATGCTTAATAAACTCACCCATTTGAAACCAAAAGTAGTTATTATTGACCATTCTCTGGACTGTACACAACAAATGCCCCCACACGATAATTAATGGTAAGGTAGTTGAGTGCATGTATGGGTCTGGTTTACCAGTTGGCCACTTTAGGAATTCTAAGAATAGCATTTAATCCATGCCATATAGCACTGAATAAGGAAACAGAGCATCTGCTTAAGTAATACTGGCCACGTTGTTCAGCATAAACATTCCCACCCCAAGTCCTGTAGTGGTGTGCACCAGGCAGAAACAAGGCGTTCCGAACGTACCATTGAATTTTTCACGCTCTGCAGCAGGTGTTCGTGCTGCTCGGCTATGGCCAAAGCAGCAGAGTGGACCTTCTGGTAGATGGCTTCACCTTCTCTCGTTTGAAAGATAAACAGCCCTTCACCAGTCTCACACATCCTAGGAAGACAAAACCAAGAGGCTTCTAAAAACTCAGCTCTTAGGAGGCCAGTGTGCTGAGATTCTGTTTGGTTTTGAAACAGGGTCTTGTTATAAAGCCTGTGATATCTGGAACACACTGTCTAGGTAGCCCAAGTTGATGTCAAACCTGCAGCAATCCGTCTTGCCTCTCGTGGGCTTGGATCCAGGCCTATGCCACCACACCTGCAATACACTGAGGTCTTGATTTTTTAAATATTTTTTTAAATTTTATTTTATGTGTATGAGTGTATTGCCTGCACGTAAGTGCACCTGTGTTATGAATGCCTGCAGAGGTCAGAAGAAGGTGTCAGACACCGTGGAACTGGAGTTGTGGAGGGTTGTTAGCTGCCATGTGGGAGCTGGGAATCGAACCTGGGTCCTCTGCAAAAGCAGCCAGTCCTCTGAATCATTGAGTCATCTCTCCAGCTCCAAGAGTCTGTTGATTTTTTTATGTGATTAGGGTTCTTGTTTGCATTTGCTAAACAACTAACTAGAATCAAAGTGGTCGGTGTCCAATTATTCTAAGAGTGGGCAGGGAACCAACATCCCTGGCTGATGTGTACTGATGTTTTTAGCATAGAGGAAAATAGAATGTCAGTTACTGTTTCTCAGTTCTCAATGTAATCCCTATACTTTACCTTTCTACTCCCAGAGACAACGCTGTGCCATCGATCCCACCCCCTACTCCCAGAATAATCTGTCAGCGGAACCCACCATGTGGGTTGTCAGGATACTGTCTGTCCTCAGTGCTGTTCTAACTTTCCCCACAGACCACAGCTTTAAGGACTCTTTCATTTCCCAAATCCCAGATCACGTTAGTCTAGCTTCCCTTTAATGTGATGGATCGAGTGCAGTTAATCATTTTTCCCTAATGAGCATGGCCGCTGAATTACAGTGAGGAACATATGGGAAGTTCTTCAAGGGAAACTATGTGGGCTTGATGCCTCATGTCAAACACTGAGAATGGGATCATGTCCACCCCAGACCACAGAAATCCAGAGATAAACTGGGCAGGGAAGATTGCCAGGCAAGAATCAATCATATCTTTCTTATTTACTAAGAATATTTTTAAAGCATTTGAGTAAAATCTTAAGTAGAGACACTGAAAAGAGCTCAAATTTGGTACATATGACAGTGAAGAGTTTGTCTTTGTTTAAAATGTTTTATTACTTTAAAAATATCTTATTATTTTTATCTTATGTGTATGAGTGTTATGCCTACATGTATGTAAGTGCACCCATGTCATGCAGTGCCCATGGACATCAGAAGAGGGCGTCGGATCCCCTGGAACTAGAGTCACAGACAGTTGTTAGATGCCACGTGGGTGCTGGGAACTGAACCCAGGTCCTCTGCAAGAGCAACCAGTGCTCTAAACTGCTGAGCCATCTCTCCAGCCCCAAGAGTTTGGATTTGTTTATTGTTTGTTTTAGTCAATTACCCTGACACCTATCTTCCCAATTTTGAAGCTCTTGCTGAAATATTGAACGCTGATTTACTTAATGCCTGAGTTTTGCACATTTGAAAAACTATACATATAACACAAAATGGAAGCTAAGCAAAATTTTAGCTCAAGCTGCTGTTGATTTTCAATCTCCCCCAGTACACGAAATTAATGCAATTAAACAAGGAAGATTTATCCCAGTCTAAATGTTCACAGTTGGCCCAGTACTGTAGCCATATGGCAGGGCCTAAGTAACTGGGCAAAATTTGCTTAGCTTAGATTTCCTGAATATGGACTCACTAAGAACATGGAAAAGGAAAGGGAGGAAACGGTCCTTCAGTAAGTTAATGCAAAGCGGTTATTCATGGAACTGGCCATGGTAGCGCACGCCTGCGGTCCCACCACTGGGGACACAGAGGCAAGTGGATCTCTATGAGTTTGAGGCCAGCCTGGTCTACATAGCGAGTTCTAGGCAAGCCGGGGCTATATAGTTAAGGCCTGTTTCTCCTAAAAATAAAAAGAAATACCTCATGGAGTTGATTACGGGATTGTAATTTTATTTTTATTTTATTTTTTGTCTTTTTGAGACAGGGTCTCCCTGTAGCCCCAGCTGTCCTGGAACTCACTATGTAGACCAGGCTGGCATT